AAAAACATTTATTAAGGAGGAATTACATGTATCAATTGGAACGTTTTCCACTTTTGGAACGATTTCCAAAAGAGATCATGTAGATAAATGCAGGAGCAAGAGTATGTATAGAACGTTATTCTTTGTGTAAGAGAAAAAATAAATGAGAATATGGCAATAGCGGTTGCCACTAGGGAGAAGACTGGGAACTGGCAGATTGAGGTAAGAAAGACACTTTACAATTTGTCCCCCTTGAACCACTTGCCTTTAAAAAAAAAAATCCATGTGTGACTTTTTTTTACTTCTTAAAAAAGTAAGACAAAAACACCATTTAAATAAATCACTTATTGCCAGGCCTTTCCCAAATGCTCACATACATATATAATTGCAACCAGGAAAAAAAATCTTATGTTTATGAAAAACTGGGTGAATTTACTTTGTGGTGAAATAGGACTGTGAAACAACTTTCGTCTTTCATGCGGAGGTTCACTAATTTTACGATAAAGTTGTTGCAACTTTTTTTTCTGCAATAAATAAAATGCACTTTGAAGGTACAGATACAACAAATATATAAGCAGCAGGGACAATTTGCCACATCTTCTAAAGTCCTTCATCTGTCCCTTGGACAAATATTTAATGAGGATCTACTAAGTGCGTGGCAAAGTGCTCAACAGGTATTTTTAAAAGAACTAAACAACAGGTCATTAGTTTCCTCCCTCCTGCCTTTCAGGAAAACATGACAGCATGCTGTTCAGAATGTTAGGGTAATGATCACTCCTCATGCTCACATATTCTAACCCCAACCTCACTTAGTGAAGGCCTGGAGAGGGGAAGAGCTCTGACCAAGGTTACATAAGAAGTGAAGGCCTCAAAATTACCAACCCTGCTCTCCTTACATGCGACACGTTGTTTCACTGTGTTGAAAGACAGGTTGGCAAGGTGAGGTAGAGACAGACCCTTACACTGAGTGCCTAATATGTCAGGTACTTTCACGTATCTTTTCACATTTATTCTTCATAACAACCTGTCAAGGTGGGCATGATTATCATTGTTCTACTAATAAGGAGGCCAAAGCTCTGAGAAGCTAAGAAACTGGTGTATGAGGCTTCAGATGCAGATCTGTCTGACTTTCAAGCCAGAACTCACCCTCCATGCTGAAAAGGAAAATCAATTTTAAAAGGTAGACTGAAGCCATATCAAGAGCCCTGGATGCAATATTTTCCATTAATGAAGCTTCTCTCTCAACCCTGGATGTTGTCACTCCAATTATGTCAATCAAAGAGCCAATCCCCTCATTATCCAACACATTTTCTAGCTCTTGTGTGCCAAGTCTGGGCTTTCCTTTTAACCCACAGAGCATGATGCTTACTCAGAGTCCAGCAATCTCTGAGAGCTATTTACATAATTTCTACCCAGACATAATGGGACAGCTCACACAAGCACAGGCCCCCAGTAAGAACTCATCCCTGAGATGCCATCCCCATGATGCCACTGGGTCACCACCACACCAAGTGGTAGTGAGAGAGGCCAGCATCACGGTGGTTGGCCCTCAAAAGTCCTATAGCTTCTAAAGTAAAGAAAAATGCAGGCCAGCACAGGAGAAGCCTCCTCGTGCCTTCTCTTTCATCCATGCAACACAGGTAGAAGGAATGACAGTTCAGACTGGTCACACTGCTAGTGACCAGAGGTACTGCACAACGCAAGATCTCACATGTGGAAATGGGACACTCTTCCAGAGCAAGGTCACACACATGGGCATGGGACACTCTTCCAAATAGGAGGGAGTCCCATCATCTCACTTTCTTCTCTCTGCCCCGCAGGAACCTAATGAAATCTGGTATTCCCCTCTTTTTGGTGTCTTCCTTCTGGAACGTGGTAAAATGAATGTTCATACTTGGATGGGGAGGGGAAATTCCATAAGGCTCAAGTCTAAGTCTCATGCTCCAGTTCAGAGTCCTTACTGGGGTTGGGGTCTAAAGGTCAGCAATTAAATGTTCCTGTGCTTTTCATCTGCCTTTGCTCCCTACCACAGCTCCCGCCGGCCTCACTGGAAGGAGCAGTCACCATCCGAGACAGGAATGAGTCCCACCACAAACCTCATCCCAAACTCAAACAACAAAATGGTCTACTGATCAGAAATCTCCTCTTTTTTAGACCCTCAGTCTCCAGGTGCAACCTGCCCACGGGAACAGAAGCAGCAGACCCAGAACTTCACCTAAGGATATAAACAGTAAGCACTGTTCCATCCTAGCCTCGCAAGGCAGGTATCATGATGCTCACTTCACAAAGAAACAAAGCTCAGACAGGTGAAAGGCTCTCCCAGGTAACACAGAGGCAAAAGCTTCTGAACCATCATTCCTGTTCTTCCCCTCACCAGGCTGCCTTTTCAGTCTTTTGGAGACTACCACTGTTAAGATTTGCCACAGCACCTGGTACCAGAAGCCAGCAAGCCAGAGCCCTTCCAGCTTCACACTAACTACTCCTCAGGTACACACATTTCTCAACAGCTGATGGAATGAAGGCCAACCGCCTTCCAGTCTAGGCATGCCCCCTGCAACAGGACAAGCCTCTGAGACTGAAAAACGGTACGCCCCACTTAAGGGCACGGCGTGGTATGAGAGAAGTCCCCGGCCTAGTAACCAGGACAGCTGAGACCCAAGTCCGACTCAGCAGAGACACACGCAGGCCTAGCCAGCCCTTCGGGCCCAGCCGCAACCCTCGAAGCCTCCAGAATCCTCAGAGAGCCCAAAGCTCCTGCTCCCACTCAAACACCCTGGACAGCGGAGAGGGTGGCTATCTTTTCTCCCGCGACCACTCACCCTCGGCTCGCTTCTCACCTGGGCCCCGCTTCCGGACCTGCAGCCACTCAGGGCCCCGCCCCCCGCCCCTGCAGGTCTCCCTAGTCCCGCCCTTTGCACCTGTGGTTTCCTCAGGCCCGGCCTCTCCAGCGGCTTTGGCTTCATCTCGCAGCCCCCTCCCCCTGGCGAACCTGAGGTCCCACCAGGCTCCGCCCCTCGCACCTGCAGCCCCCTCGGCCCCTCCCAACTGCCTCCTCCCGCCCCGCCCCCTGCACCTGCGGC